CCTGTTAATCCAATGGAAAATCAGACACTAATGTTCTAATTTCCCCCAAAGAATATGCCAGATAAAACTATAAAACATTAAAATTATGAAAACTCTTGCTCCAAACAAGAGACAAAATTACTACAATAGTTACTGAGGAACGTATACTATTTCAACAACAAGTTGAAGTTTAATTATCATAAATGAGTATGTGTGTCTTTGTATAGGTAAAAATGATTTAGGAGTCACCCCCTCATTGAAAAGTAGCAAAAATATAGTCAAGAAAAACATCATTTGTTTCTTGAAACAAAAGAAAGGTAAGTATCAAGGTACTATGTCCAAGTGTCAATACTTGAAAAAAAGGTAAACCGCCAAAGTATACGAAAAATTATGAATATCAATTTCATACAATTCAGAAAAATGGATAAATCGCAAAATGATTTACTCCAGATAACTCTAGTCAGTAGATTATTGCCATCAGAATGAAAACAAATGATCAAAAGTTCAAGTACAGTCAAAAATTCAAAAAGTAAATACATTTGGGGAAGGCAAAAATAATTTTGAAAGTAAATTTCCTACGTACCAAACATCATGAGAGCTATATCAGTACACCAGAGATCCAACAATTAGGCTATATATGCATACATGAAAAGTCTCAAGAAATCAAAAAACTGCACATGAAGAAATACTTTCAAAAACTAAGAGGTTAGTGATCAAAAATGAAAAGCATATAAGAATATGTAAACTATCAACAACAATAGTCACAACCTCAATCAAAAGTTTGATGATATTCGACAAAAATGCTGAGAAACCTAAAGTCCCCAGACTATCAATATTCAACAACAAAAAAATATCAAAATATCATCAATCTCAAAAGTACAATGAGAAAAAAGTTATAACTGTCCCCAGCAGTAAATAAAAACTGTAGTAGTATGTGAGAAAAAAAAATTCTGGCAATGATCTCGCTGACTACTAAACAAGACAATTTAAAAGTTAATAGTATGCCTATGAAATAAACAGGTGGAAAAATTTTAATCTTTTGATAAAAATTTTAAGCATTAAGCAAAAAGTAAGGATGATTAAGGAATTAGAAATTTGAGTACCAAAAGCAATTAAAAATAGAAATGCTGCCAAAGATTGTAAAGAATTTTAAAAACTATGTTCTGTCTGCCAATCTTCCACTAGCAAACCACTTGTCGACAAAGCCAAACACCTATCGAAGCCTCACGTTGGGCGCCAATTTATGTAACGCTTCCTTTCCGCAAAAAGTCCAGAAAAGATGGAATGCAATGAAGATTCCAACTTTTCTGCACAATCACAGAAAGGGCGTTAGCATTAGCTTCCGGTAGCTCAGTCGGTGGCATGAAGACATCTACAGGCGTGTAGCTGTGTGTCGACCATGGCATGGTTAGAGGATAGAAGAACAAACAGAACACAAAAATTTAACAGATTTTATTTAACAAAAAAAAGGCATTTTCATTACATTACAATTTTACAAAAATAACAAAATAAGTTTTACATCTTTGGCGCTGCTATAACGCTATCGACTTATCTTTCGCTGGTCCATTTTTACTCGACTGAAGCCAGGATGGCCAGGGGCTTGAAGGGGAGGTCCCAGTTATGAGGGGTGACCTCCATATAGTGGCTTCACAACCAGTTGTAGGCGAAGTTAAAGGCGATGGCGCTGCCAAGGCACATGCATGGGTGAAAATATTGGCCAAGGCTAGGCAAAGTGAAAGGGAAAGAGAAAGGGGGTGGCCCCAATCATTTTTGTCCTATACGGACACACATCCTAGAAAATTCTAGCACATGGTGCTATATAACCTTGTGCTACTGAGAAGAAATTTCTAGCCGTTCTTCGATCGGCGGCTCAGGTGAAAAAAAAGCGCGAGGAAGATCGCAGATCAGGAACTCCGCATCAAGCGCTCCAAGCGGAAAATTTTCCAAGCAAAAAAGCTAGAGATGGGATTAATGAAATGATAATCGAGAAGTGATTTAATAAATACGATCGGACGGTGAAACCGTTACAACTTACTTAATTCTTTGGAATTTTGGTTATATGTCCCATGCCCCCACAAACAGTACGTTGTGGAATCAAAGAGAGTCATGTATTTTCTCTAGGATAGGATCGTTAATAAAAATTACGTTTTGCAATTTTTGCAGGCTCATCGACAAATTAATAAGAAGGTTTTTAGTAGAACAAAAATATAATTTATCATCAAGTATCATGTAGTTTGAAAATGCTTGGCCTCGAGTCAAGCAGAACAATAAAAACAAGTCAAGTCAAGCATTAACGTTTCAAGTAATTTTGTTTCCAAGTCAGTAGTGCATGAAAATATCAAGCTATTTAACTTGATGAATCCCTAAGTAGTAATCGAAGCTTGATCTGAACCAATATGGTAAGCATGGTCTTACAATATCGTGCAGAAGTAGGTGAACAGTGGTTTTCCAGGCTGAAATTCATACTCATCCCATACGATAAAGATGACAACTCGACGTTCTACGCGATGCACATATATATATATAACTTGAGACGTGGTCATTGTCGTCTAGACCAGTTAGGTGGAAAATTAAAGGCGTAAGCTTTAATTTTTCACCTATATATATATATACATAATATATATATATATATATATATATATATATATATCTCGCATTGCCACAACGGTGACATCTTGGCTTTCCGTCTCTGTAACCATGACCAACTGCAGACACTGTTTCATACTCTTTAGCAACTGATCAGTGCGGTAGATTTCTAGTAGTCCTGATGACAGATGGACGGAAAGCAAACAAGTGGGTATCATATTTTCAAAAACTGAAAATACTTTGCGGAAGTAGGTGAGAAATGTGACGATCTCCACCTACACTTACAATATCTCTGACTAAAAAGAGAGAAATTATTGTTCGTTGTGATACACTGTCGAACAGACTATCACGACCTAGTGCAATACCAAAACAAATATGTACAGTATTGCATAAATGCTATTTTTACTGTGTTGTTGACCTTCAAACGCGGTGCAAATGCTAATTAGACAAACGCTTTAATCGGCATGTAAGCTGCTGTTTTCAATTTCAGTACCATGAAAATTTCCAAAGTATCGGTTCTATAAACGCGGCGATATGTTAGTAATCATACATCAAACATGATTGAATCGTGGTTTTTTGCTGATTACGGTTATATTGACACAATTAGCCCACATTCATAAATGCAGCTTTAGATATAGCATTTTGTGTAGTGTTTTTTTCGATTTAAGGAAATACTTATGTATTTGATAATGAAGTGACATACCCATGTTCAGACGCTACATACTGACTCATTAAAATTATTTACAAACAAGCGTAAGGCAGTATCTTCCTGTTTATTCAGGTAATCATTTTTTGTGGCAGTGAAGTTTTCCTCATAACTATACTGCGAGTTCATAAAGGTGGTTTGAGTCATAAACATTCCACCGCTGCGCCGCCGCTTTCCCATGAAAATCATGGTCACCGTTATAACAGCTATTAGCGGGGGCCGTACATTTTTATCGTATTACGAGCGATCTTGTCTATTCGCTGGCTACTTCGCTGGATTTTGGGATTCATTTTGATCATCACGGATTTTTTCGCGGCCAAGGGCTTGAACCCGCTTGTTTATTCGTTTGTCTAAAGTTTTAGTAAGACTGCCTGTCGCCGTTTTTTTGTTTTCGAATATTAGGGGAATTTGGTGTCTTTTCAAACTACTGCTACTGCTTTAGAAGCTGGTGGAAGAGTTGGGGGACATCAGGTGACTAAAAAATGGATTTTTGTTACCTTATTTTGAGTGTCCCAATCTGTTGAGTTCCTTACGTAATCAGAATAAGACCGAATATCTTGGGATCAGCTGAATTACTTACTTACTAAAAGAAGAAGGAAATTAAATGATACTACCAACAGATATTTCAAAAGATCCAAACGAGTTTAATAATTTCTTCTCTATAGTTGCTGAAAAAGTTCTAAGAAACTTCTCTCAAGCTAATTCGCACCTGTGCATTGACAATAACCTATTTCCGGACTGCTTGAAACGAGCAGTTGTTATTCCTATTAATAAAAATAATAACGGCCTTTATTAATGATACATGAGAGAGACAAAGATAGCGAAGTTCAGCCTAGACTACTCTTACACATAATTATTATGGTCATTAGTTTAGAGTACGATGTTATGTGCGCTGCCTAAAATATGTCCACCAAAAGAAAATTAGAGTTATAACTAACTAAACTAAACTATAAACTAAAATACATCACAACTATATACAATATGTACACGTATACTCAAATATATACATACATACACCATTCTTCACAAGGATTTGCACAAAACGAAAGTCTATCAAGCGGCCTGTAGCCGTTCAATATTATTGTGTAGTATTTTGGTTTGTGCAATATAACTGATTGTATGTGGGCAATATTGAAAAGCTGTGCAATATATTGTGTGGTGTCGTGAAAATATATTGTGCAAACGGGAATATATTGTGCCGTCTGTTGGCAGCATTGCGCAATATTCCATCAGTTGGTCTCAGTTCACTCGAACGAGGAGTTCATCATATAGTTCTCCGTCCATTCGTTAAAAATTGCGGAAATCACTTGGTTCCTCTATTCTCAGTTCATTGAGTAATTTTTCAGGGGTGTACTCTTTCCTATCAATAAACCCGAGCCCTTTTTCTTTTCTTTTTTTTGCACTTGCGGCCAAAGCCATTTCCACGCAATACAAGTCACTTTCACGCAACATGTTAAGTGCATGAAATTTTGGCGACTGCTGTTTGCATAATGTACGTCTGTGCTCATGGTTACGCCATATATTTATTATGCAACATTCAGTATCGCCTCCATACGGTACAATCTTTCGTACAAACCAAAATGTTGTACAATAATATTGGCCGCCTATTGGCCACCGTCAAAATGTTGTACAAGCCACATTGCACAATAATATTGCACGTCTACAGGCCGCTTAAAATTTGTTCTACACACTTTGACGGACGAACAAAAATGCTAATTCCAGAGCAGTTGTTGCAGCCGCCAGAAATGATCCAAACTTTCTGAAATCAATGGTTACGGGTGATGACACATGATGCTTTCGGTACGATCCCACAACCAAGTGTGTCAAAGTGCGGAATGGAAGTCGAAAAATTCACCACAAGCCAGAAAAACACGAAACGTGCGTTCAAAAATCAAGACAATGTTAATCACCTCCTTCGATAGCAAAGGAATAAATCATCCAGAAGGAATTCGTTCCACTTGGCCAAATAGGCACTGACAACTATTATCTCCAAGTTTTAAAGCGCTTGATGGCCAGAATCCGTCGCATTAGTCTCGAATATCAAGATCCAGACAGTTGGTCACTGTAGCACGATAACGCGCCATCTGACAATTCCCTAATTGTTCGTCAATTTTTGGCCTGAAATAGATTTTGTGTGCCTTATGATCCGCCATATTCATCTGATTTGGCTCCGTGCGAGTTTTCTTTATTTCCTAAATTGAATTAAAGTTGAAAGGATGCTTTTTCGAATACATTCCGACCATCCAAACAGCTTCAACACGGGCACTAGAAGCAATACCACAAAATGAGCTGGTTCAGGCATTTGAATCACTTTTAAATGGGTGTAACAAGTGCATTGAAACGAGAGAAGATTATTATATTGAATAAATAAGACAATAAGTAGGAAAATATGATATTTGTATCCCATTTTATAGGCCCAGTCTCAAAAATTATTTGTCGCACTGTGTATAACAAAAACACTGTTTGAAAAGTGTCATAGAGTGAGGCGGTATTCTGATTATTTTACGGTCTCTAATGATTCAGCTATGTACTTCATTACTACATACAGGGTGCAGCAGAGAGGATGGACGATTTTAAAAAAATCATAAAATAGTTAATTTTGACTCGAAAACAAATTTATTGATGGAATCAGCTTCACAAGGAAATAGCATTTCAGACAGTCAAGTGTGGAAAATCACATCAGGCATGTGGTGGCCGAAATCGTTGATGCAGTGCTGGAGGCGTTCTTGGAAGTTCGCGTAGACTCCCTCCAACATCGCTCTCTCAACTTGGGCGACTTCCACGCGAATTTCGCCCTTCAATTCCTCCAGAGTTCGGGGCTTGTTCGCGAATACTCTAGCCATGAGGTGTCCCCATAAGAAAAAATCGCATATGGATAAATCTTGGGACCGAGGAGGCCAATGAACATCGCCAAACCTGGAAATAAGGCGACCAGGGAAAAGAGGGCGAATAACGCCCATGGATGCTCGGGCTGTGTGGGCGGTGGCCCTATCCTGCTGGAACCACACACGTCGGATTTTAACACGTCGCCGTCGTAATTCAGGAAGAAAGAAGTTGGTGATCATGTCGGCGTAGCGCTCTGAGTTCACGGTAACATCACGACCATTACCATCTTCGAAGAAGTAAGGGCCAATGATGCAAGTTTGCGATACAGCGCACCAAACCGTTACTTTTGGGCTGTGCAGCGGTCTTTCATGTAACTGTTGTGGATTTTCATTAGCCCAATAACGACAATTCTTATGGTTAACCATGCTGTTTAGGTGAGTGGGCTTCGTCACTCATAAACAAAATGAGGTTCTCATTTTGACCGATTAGTGCGAAGTTCATTCGTTGTGCATAATCTCCGGGCTGTAACTGTTGCACAATGGCCAATTTGTAGGGGTGAAAGCGGAGATCCATATGCAAAATTCGCCTTACCGAACGATCACTAAGGCGAAGTGCAGCAGCATGTTTCCGGGCAGATCGAGTCGGACTGCGAAGAAAGACCTGTCGAACGCGTTCAACATTTTCAGGAGTTCGAACTGTTCGCGGCGCTCGTCTTGGTCTTCTGTTGATCAGTTCACCACGCCTGCGAAGTGATTCAAACCAACGAAGGATGGTGTTTCGAGAGGGAACAGCTCTATTCCGATGAATGTTGAAGTGGCAACGAAACTCACGCTGTACGACGATGACTGACTCATTATTTCGGACGAAACAATCATAGGCGAAAACGCGGTGCTCCACCGTTCAAGGCTCCATAACGACAACTGGTAAAATAATGCTAGGATCTCACGAGTCAAACGGCACCCTCCCCACCTCTCTCGTAGACGGAGGCGGAAGTACTACCCATCCCAAAAACGTCCGTCCTCTCTGCCGCACCCTGTGTAATCTTCTCTCTCAAATAATATTCACAAAGATAGCTAAACAGAAGATGTAACTATACACAAAAAAGAGTTGGTTCAAGAACAACGACCTTCAGTTGAGGACCGTGACTTCAGTATGTTTCTAAGACATATATCTTTGAACTAAGGGCAATTTTCCAATTGTAAGTGCTATGTTTCTTTAAAACAACTGTGATCTCGGAAGAAGCATCAAAATTTCATTGAAATTCTTGCTCTTGAATCAATAGCACTCTTTTTGTGTGTTATTACCGGTTACCCATTTTTAGTAAGATGTTTGAAAAATGCCTTGTGTCACAAATAGTATCTTATTTTGAACCGAATAATTTGTTCTTTTTAAATCAATTTGGCTTTCGAAAACAGAAAAATACTACTATCTTGAGGTTAGTGGAAGACATAATCGAAATATTTGCATACCATGTTATGTGACCTTGGTAAGGTGTTCCACTGTGTCTCGCATGATATCCTGCTCAGAAATCCTAAAGAATACAACTTTACCTCAACCTCACATTATCTAATGATATCTTAGTTGAGCAATATATCACAAATTGTTAAAACGGATCCTCTATATCTAATGAAAGACTGATCAAGTATGGTGTACCTCAAGGTTCAGTTCTAGGTCCCGTGCTGTTTCTCATTTTTATCAATGGAGGGTATTCCTATTGCAGATGACACCACCGTCTGAGCGAACAGTAATTGTATTTTTGAGCTTTCTGATAAGGTCGAAACCATACAGTTGTGCGCCAAACGTTGATTTGATGAGAATAGGCTGACCACAAATGCATCTAAAACAATGCACATGATTTTCAATTTGAAAGAAGTAGGGGAGCATGTGCATCTTCATATAGAAAGTACAAAATCCTTAGGAGTAGATATTGATAAAAGGCTAAAATGGGACAAATATAATGACATCCAAACGACTTGCAAAAAACGTTTTACTACTTATGGAAGCTTATGGTCTGAGATGAACCGCAATGCACTGAAATCAGTATATTTCGCTGTATGGGACCAGTTCAGATTAGCAGAGACTATAGAGACGTGCACTTCGTGTAATGCGTTCTTAAAAATTTAGAGATGGCTGTATACAACACTTCATAGATATGAGGATACTCATATTGCTATAAATATATACGTACATATACGAAGATATTCTATGCTTGACAGTATCTGAACACCGATGAAAACCTCTATAACAACAACTACAACATTAGAAGTACGGATACCTTGAATATTCCACTTTTTATTCTGTCTAAAAGCCAAAAATGAGACAGAGCACCAAAATATTTTAAAAACCTCCATTGAGTATCAGATCTTTAAATTTGAATGCTTATAAACAGTCACGGATTTTTAAATTATCACCACATCCTACTCGTACGACTTTTTGATATTGAATTTTTATCTGTATTTTAAGTATTAGATTGTGCGTGTTTCAATTTATTCTTATAATCTTGCTTGTATATGTTACATATCATATTTATACATTTGTACAATAAGTATGACTTGTGTAAGTACAATCGATGTACAATGGCACCAATAAGTTATTTGAATTTGAGCTTGTCCAAACCTCCAGAGCTTGCCCATGGGAGTGTCGGCCATTGGTAGGGATGAGTTACCTACTGCCTACCTGACAAGTATGAGACATGTCGTTGAACTTTTCTAAACAATTTTTGAAAGTAGCACAACTGTAGCTCGGAACATAAAGGTAGGAGAAAGATGCTCTAATTTTTCTCATACCTTTTTCTGCAAACGAAACCATAAAGCGCTGGGCTAAGTCTTTACTAACATGTCGGCCACCTCGGTGACTGACAATATATTGTAGTATCTTGATTTATTCTTTGAACAAGGCTAGCGATGTAGTAAAGGCTCATTGGTCTTGAGCCAGCTCTAGGTGTGCAGGCGCAAAGAGTTAGCATGATAGCGAAGAAGCGGATATCGAGATAACACTCTCTGAAATGGAATAGTATCTGTAGGCATCTCCGTCAAGCACGGTAACTCATTTCAGAGCCTAGTGCTAAGGATGGACACGCTGATGGAAGGAGAAGAGACGTCTTGAAATGATCTGTGTCGCTGCGAAGCTCTGTGATACTTCAGGCTGACTATACATGGATCTAATGACTTGAATCCCCAGATTGTCAATGAGTTGTAACTCCAGCCATAGTCAACTTTTTCAGGAGGGCGGGGCTTGAAGCATAGACAATATAGAGATACAAAGGACTCTGGCATGTGGCCTATGCATCGGCTTCTGTTGGTTGCAGGTGTGCGTCTACTTTCATCTCATTCTTTCTTGTATTCCAGGCCACCGAGGAAGAGTTGAATGTCGGTCCAACATATGTGGTATCCTTTGGCGGCCAAAAAATGTAGAGATTTATCAGCACGAAAACACCAGGATAAGTTTTAGATGTTATATTAACGGCACGAGAAACTTCCAAAGTTGGGTCCAATTTTGAGGCTCATTGTTGAAATCATGTTTCAATTTTCACTGCATTATCTTCATATTGAATATTCAATCATTTCACAACAATTTTACCCTGTACTATCCTACCCTGTACTTCTACCAGTTACTTCGTCCATAACGACGAAATTACCTTCTTGTATCGACATCACCACACCGCATCACATTGAAGCAACCGGACCAATTTGGCATTATTTTTCGCGAGTGGCTGTCGTTGAGTGTCAGACCAGTTCAACCCTCGACCCTCATTCTAAATGAAATTAATTAAACCTCTGGCTCGCCCGCCCAACGACGAGCTAAATGCAATTTTTTTATCGTCCTCATCTCGAGTGTCTTCCACTGCTGCCTATTGGAAACCAAATTAACTTTCAAAAACCTCGATGGCAGTCAGTCTTCAATAACTGGGGTGATGCAGTTCATTTGACATTAATTTTATGGCCGTTTTGCTTTCAAGTCAACGAGCATAATGGATGAAATTAAATTTCGATGATGTGAATTGCAGATGTTCTTATTTCACTTGACTTGAATCAGCGTCTTTTTCGAAGATGAAAAATTCGGTAAATTTTTTACGACTACTGAAAAATACCCGTCTATTGCAATTTCCACCTGTTACTTGAAAATTCCTTTTTCCGTTCATATTGTTTTTATTTTAGAAATACTTGAAAATTACTGGGGGGGGGGGGGGGGGTTGTTAGAACTTGCGGGGTAATCCACCAATTCTCTCTACTCTGCTTGGTAGAGGGCAGCCTGCGATTCGTTTATGCAGCTTTAGTGGTCTTTGTGGTAGATGTTTTTGTTTGCCTTC